TCTTATAATCCATAGATGTCACTCACGACCGGATAGAAACTGAATTAAACTGTATTTTAAGTAACTAAGTTTTTCACAAATTTGTTATTCTTTGTATATGGCTGGGGTTTCTCAGAACTCCAAAAGAACTTGAAGTCAGACCCGTTACTGCTGATTAGTCTCGTTAACTTACTCCAAGGATTGACTTTGATGTCTGTAAATTGCTTGTTGGAGAACTAAGACACCCACTGATGATGCTATTTTCATCAGTCGCATATTGATACAAGGCCAATGTGTTGTCACATTCTCAACAAAACACATGGTTCAAGATATTTGAACAGGTGCGCATGTCTAAGACTGGTGGCGCAGCTTTGTTTGTACCAACTGGAGCAAACTGATCAAAGGGCCCAAGAAGGAAGAACAACAACCAGTTACGTACAATTTGCGCACAGAACTACGTAGGTTCGCCTGAAAATGAACGCGTTATCCTTATCTAAGTTAACCACTAACAATCGTAACGATAAGAGTTTATTTATCGATTGGCGAGGTTAGAATCTACTCAGCTACGTTCGTTATTCGTGGTTATCAACACGTCTAATGACAATTCGTGATGAAACTTAACGAAACTACACTTAAAACTAAATTGGCTTAATAAATTTTGGTAGTAGCATTTTCATTAAACCAAATGACTATATCGACTTGATTTGATATTTGTCCGCTGTAAAAACGGAATTAATCATCATGTGGGTTTACTGAATGAGTACGTTTAGAGTACACCTCGTCCCATGAAAAACTACGAATAAAAAATCTCTCTGAGCTGCCCCTCGATCTAACTCCTAACAGCTGTTAATTACTTTAAATTATATGGAATTTACATATCATAACTAAGGAAATTTTACGTCAGTAAATTTTATAAATCTAGATACTCTGAGATTTATTACATTTTATTTTAACAAATTAAGGAAAAACACTCACACACATGAAAAGCCTAGTACTCATTTTAAATCTCTGACGAGACACCAGTTAATCAGAGAGATGTTTCCGTGATTTTCCTCGATCTCTGAAGACTAATTCTGGGACAGACTTAAAAACCGCTTCTTTCTTTCGACATGTATTTCTTTCAATGAAGGAAGACCGGTAATTAAAATCGAATTACGTCCTACTAACAATTCTGGCATGAGAACTGCTCAAGTTGGATCAGATAAAAAGTACAATTATAAGTAAAAATAAGTAGCTTAAACGAATACACCATCACATTACCATAACATGCATCGTTGAAATTCTCGCAGCACTGAATTTATTTCTTGTTATTTCCCGAAATAGTTGTTGTTTTATAACGAGTGAAATGGCTGTGTTGTAGCTTTGCCTACGAATTTAATGATTTGCTTTGTTTGTTAACGACATATTCCGACGTTCTCTGTGGCCTCAGGTTCGAATCTCGACTTTCACATTGATGTATCTGTATGCACTGTTAGTACATTGCCTACCTACGTACAAACAGAGTGCATTTACATGAAATAAAAATTGAATAAGGAAGCAGTGTTGTTAGTATAGGTCTATTGTAATCGCCGTGGAGATGCATCTCCGTGTATTTCTCTCTGTCTTTTTGCCCTGTTGTCATCAATCTCTCTCTATTTCCTGTTTTCATCATGTATGCTCTTGCGAATCTCACCATTGACACAATGGAAAATTATAAACTTAAAATTTTAAAGGTTTAGAATAATTAATTTGTAGAATCTACACCAAACACGTATCTTAATCCAACATTGATATTGAAGTTTCTTTTACCAATAGGGATGTACGTTGTCATCCTATAAGTAATTTAGTCTTATAATTAATAATAAAGATAAAATGTCAATGAAGCTTATTCGGTCCAAAATAAATTATTTTAATATTCTAAAAACAAAAAAAATAAGACGACATTGTTATTAATATTTTGTCTCATTTGAGGAATCTTTCTCGGTGAGAGAAAGTGTTTGGATTGATTATAAATATTTACTTTGATTTCATTTTCGCTTCTTTGTTTTGTTTTTTATATTTCATCTTCTTGTGCTGACTCTGTAATTGGCTCCTGTAGTAGCAGAGTTAGGAAGTTAAAATCAGGGATTGAATCCAGCTCAGAACGTAACAATAAAGAATCCTAAAATTAGATTTTTAAAAACTGTACTTTGTGTGACCGGATTGCGCCTGTTGTCTGTGACTTTTTTGATTTGTAACGCGATTTTAATTTTTATGTAACTATATTATTTTGTATAAAAACGTGTGCTGTTGTATTATGGCCATATCTTCACATTTTTCAAGGCTGGGTTGAAATTTGTCTCTAAACAAACTCTTTCGCCGGCCATGGCCTCAATGTTTGTTATATTGCCTGATTCGTTACATCACGATTTTGTTGGGCATTGTCCACTTTCTGAGATACACAGTGTGTCACAAAAATATGTATACACACATCAAATGAATGAAATAAAGACGTTGTAATAAACTAAACCATTACATATGTCAGAATTGACACTTAGTTCAAAGTTACTGTGTTTACCTTTAGCGGAGGAGCTGCATATTCATGTCAGAATTGACACTTAGTTCAAAGTGACTGTGTTTACCTTTCGCGGAGGAGCTGCATATTTCATGTTATAATGTGCATATATATTTTTGGGACACTCTGATTTATACATGATTTTTGATTTTATTTCCGTGTCCAGTGACTGTGGACACTCTGATTTATACATGATTTTTGAGTTTATTTCAGTGTCCAGTGACTGTCAATATAGTTTAAAGATTGTTGCTGATTTTATTTTCAAGATCATTTACAACGGACAGAATAAAATCCGGAATGTTTTGAACTAGTATTTAGTGCACAGTTTTGGGATTCTGAGTTCGATCCCGCTTGTCGTTAATAATTTTTAACGTGAAATACTGTGCTGAAATAGCAGATAATCACCTGAAAATTTAAAGTAGATTTAACTCAAAGACAATAGCCAGTTTACTTCATAAGTGTAGTGGAACTATGGTTTCGTGATAGCATTAATTATCTTTAAGACAGCCGTGCTTTCAAATATATTTAGAGTTAAAATCAAGGAAAAGCGAGTCCTCAGTTTGAATTTGCCTCGAGTGTACCATGGATTACATTTGATTGTATATATGTGGCATGCATGTAGGAATCTGTGCGCTCTGGTTCCGACGGCGTACACGCGGTCTGGGCAGGCACAAAGAGTTTCATCCCTCCAACCCCGCAGCGACGCAGCAAAATAACAGAACAATGCTTGCAATCATAAAGGGTACTTTTTCCTCTAAAAGTTTCACTCTATTTGTATCCTATACTGTTTGTTGTACACACACACACATACACACATGGTTTATTTGAAGAAAACTACAGTTTCCAACATACGTGTAATAACAATAAACTATGTGAAGTCACCAGAACAATGTTTATAAAATTAGGTTCCTAACATTAACAGTTAACTGTGTTAAAGTTTCTGTAAGGCAATATCACAATACCGAAATTTAGGTGTGAATTTTGATACTAGCTCTATTTTTCAGAAGCTTATATCGTTGTAATTATCATCTTATTTTATTCGTATTTTCCGCCACTTAATAATTCCGTATCAAATGTAGAGAGATAGGAAGGCAAAATGGCGACTGGATGTTGTGCAATGACATGTGAAGGAAGGATGGACCACGTTTTCCTGAATCCATAGGACAAAGTTATCATTTTCTCCTCTCCTGATAACCTAAAAGTTTTATAATTTTCTTTGACAGGAGCAAATCTTGAAACTATTAAATTAATTTCACATGCACCCGTGTTAAAGTAGTCCTACACGTGTTAGATTTTGAGGGCTGTAGTTTAATAATCAGAGTAATGATTAAAAGAAAATTGTCAGTTGCCAGTTATGAATGGATCAGTTTGTCTTCAAGGTAATGTGTACCAGAAACCGGATAAATCTGTTTAGAAGACTGTAAAATAATGCAAAATGAGATGATAATTCTAAACCATAATTTAAATGCGACTTATGAGATATGAGGTTATCACGGCGGTGAATATGACGATGCTGTTATTATGCGCTGTAACGCCGTTTAGATAAACTTTTCGGAAAAACTTACCGTCTCCATTTTCATAGTTAAATGCGATTTATCTATAGATCTGTAGCATGTGTTACTTCCAAGGGCCAGGGAGAGGAATGGCATATCTTTACTAACATTTAAACGATTAACCACAAGTTATTATTACTCTGACCTCATTTGTCGATAACATAGACTTGGGGAGTAGTTAAGTTAGCCGCGTATGTGATATGATGTTCGAGGAGGTCAGGGCGTTTCGTAGCACAGTATGATCAAATGCCAAGCTACGATGATAATGATGATGATGATAAATGGTTCTGGCTTGTTTTAGGTATGTTAGACACATGGAATCCGTGAGTAGTTTCTTCTTCAAAACTAGAAGATTTGCATGTGTAGTTTTGTTTGGCATTTTGATAGTAGATGCCTGCCTGTATGATGCACAAAGTTAGTGGCACTGAAGCCGTTTATCTGTATATAATTCATATGCCAACTTCATATGTCTGCTCATCGAATCTCGTGAAATATTCCTCATGACAACTTTCGTCAAACTTAAATGAATACGTAAATTTAATAACTAGGTTATTTCATACGCAGTTTACTGTGTTCGCCTAATACCCATCATATTGATTAAATTACACATTAGAAAGGTGTGTGTACAGACTACAAAAACACTGTAGTTACATACAGCTTACAGACCCAGTCTAAGTTTCAACAGCATAATTTAATTAAGTCCACAAAGCATTGAATGATTTTGGAAGATAACCATGAGTGATGAGTAACAATTTAAAAGCAGACGGCCGTGGTATATTTAAAAGTAGTATCTCGACATTTTCGTGGATGTGCGGAGAAAACCAAAATTACGAAGGTTTCATTGTAACTGATTACTTTTTCATCTAAGCAATGAGATCTTACGTTCTGCACGGTACACTGATAATAACTTAAAATTTGAAAAATCGTTCACTTACCGAAAGTTGGAGAACCACTTGACTAGCTGAGCGGTATTGTTCTTGTTGAACTTGATGTCGGGGAAGTACATCTTGAGGACGGCTGAACTGGGGTAGCGCACCCAGAAGAACATCAGCTTGGCTTTCCGCAGATGCATCGGAGTGAGGGTTGAGGAGTGGTGACCAGTTAAGGGAAACAAATACAATTATTGGAACACTGGTAACACTTGCATAAGCGCATCAACATCTCTAAGCAAGATTAAACATACCCGTGTGTATAGCTTAGAAAGACGCCAGAGCTTGGTATCTGTATCTTGATCAAATAGAGAGAAAAAAGAAAGAAAGAAAGAAAGAAAGAAAAGATTACTGAAATGACATATATCCACCAATGCTTATTGTTTTTAGAAATTTTCTATAAATCTGATTGCGTACAGTTACGCACTTCATTTCATAAGACCTTACTTTCAATTGAAAGTTTTGTTTATCAAATACAATAAATGTAAAATAGTAATTTGTCTGCTTTCTAATACACGAAAGAAACGATTCACTTGCACAACACAAAGATAATTAGAGCTGTTTTAAAACCAAAATGAGATTGCCTTAGAAAGGTCAAGTATCTGTCATTTAAATGTAGAGTTTCGTGTTTGTAATACTACGATAAGGCTTCCAGGTGACCAGGACGACAAAGCAGAAGGAGACCGAGTAGGCGTCCAAACAAAAAGGATTTTCTGCCGAGAATAGGAGTCGAAAATAAGAAGCAGTACGACTGCAAAAATAGAAAAGAGCGCTTGGTCTCCAAAAGAAGGTGGAAGCTGCTTATTCGTTGACCACGCGGAAAGTA